AAACATAATTCGTTTTAGTTTTGGGGGAGGCCCATGTGTTAGGAGTCTCTGGGGAAGAGGGTGGGGGTGATGGGTACTGCAGCATGTTCAAGCTAGCGGGTCGAACTATCGGCCCGGCGCAGTATGCACTCACCGGCTCCCAGGCACGTGCACAGACACACTTCTCTGCCTTTCTTCCTCTGCTGCATGACCGGTGCCGTTCCACTTGCGACTGGCGTCAGTCTAAACACGGGATCGTCTCCGAGCAACCCTTCTCTGACGTGCGTCCTGTTGCAACCAATGCTCTGGCACGGAGCTGTCATAGCTGCCACTTGTGGCGAAGATGCTTCTGGCAATCTTTGTCAATCCTCGGTGGTGCACAAACGCAAACAAGGGTGCTCGGCTGTTCTGCTTGCACGGCAATCTTGATGTTCTGGACAATCGTTGGCCTGAGCCTCCAAGAACGTGCTGAACCATGCCTTTCGAGGTAATGAAGTCGCCGGTGCTCACGTTCACACCCCAGCGTCTGCGGCTCCAGCTAAATGCCATGCATCTGCAAGATTTACCCGGTAGTGAGGCTCGCTCAACCTTTCCAATGCAGTGAAGAGGTTCTGCATCCGATTGTTCTGCAGCACAGTCCGAAAGCCTGCAGCTTCTGTCCAGCAATTAGTCACTTGGTCTTGCGCTGACCGAATTGAAGGTATGGCTCGCCTAATGCCGGCTTTGCTTGCATCGCTTATTCGAAGCACGGTCTGCAGAATTGCTGTCGCAGCTTCGAGTGATGCGGATCTGTTTCCGCCATCCTTACACAAGGAGTCTGCGTCAGGGACTCCGACGTGGGCTTGTTCATCCTTTGCCAATCTCACAAGGAGCGCGAAGAGCGGCCAACCGGACAAAATCACTGCTTCCCAGGAGATTGAGAAGATGAGAGGTAGAAAAAAAGTGCTCTCTGCGCCCTCTGTTGTTCTTTCAATTCTGGAGCTCGGCTCAAGCAAGAGAAGGACGAGCAACTGCAGGCATAGTTCACCAAGCACAAAAGGCTCAGATTGACTGTCAGTCTGGAAAAAGGCCAGAAGTGCCCCGGCAAGCTCGCCAACAGCTTCTACATCATCTTCTGGTGTAAACAGAAAAGCCACCAGCTGCGATCTGGCAAGCTGCCACGCACCACTCCGAAGATGCCCCAACGGTTCAACTTCTTTTTGAGTAGTGTGCCGTGATGCTGACAGCAGTGAGTCGTATAACACCTCCACCATCGTGTCACCCAGCTTTAGATTCCGTCCGGCTGCAAAGCCATCTTTGTTTCCCATATCAAACGGATACCCTGCAGCTGACAGGAAATCATGAACAGGCCGCTTGTATAAGGCGTTTTTGACTGTATGTGTAAGCCACAAGAACTCTTGCACAACCCGTTTGTCAAGAAACGGATACCTCGCTTCGATCCCATGGCTCCCGGCCACAACTTCTTCTTTCATCAAGTAGTCTCGTTGCGTCCCCAGGAACACGGATCGCCAAGGGAATATGGATGCTAGCTCCTGTGGAAACAAGCCACCGAAGGAACTGTGGGGAAAATATTTGGCACCAGCAAAGCCATAGTCTGAGATGATTTCGTCTGCTCCTGCCCCCGAAAGGTAGACCAGAATTCCAGATTGCCGACAACGCCTGAATATTGCAGAAAGGCCAGTGGCGGCACCATCTTCCTGAACGGATCCTCCTGCCCAATTGCTCCTTCCGTATCGGAATGGCTCAGAAGTCAGCTCAAGCCAAGATCGCTCTGCCTGAAAGTCTTGAAGTGACAGGCTTAGAAGGAAGGCTCGGGAAACCGACCTGTTGTGAGAGAGACGCCTTTCAATGAGATCGGGGAGCTCCTCGGCGGCCACAGTGAAATAGTTCACTGAATGCGCAGCAGCTTCAGCTTCGAGGGCCACGTGTAAAGCCCCAGAATCGTATCCACTACTCAGTCCGACAAAGATGGGATGGTTTGAAGCAGCGACACGTTTCCAAACGGCTTTGCTGAATGCAGCCTGCCAGTCCTGCGTCGAAGTCTTAAACTGGCGCAGATCGAACTCATGCACGGAGTGATGCTTGACCGATGTGACCAGAACTGCACCAAACTGTGGAGCTTCTGCGTTGAAGCTGAGGGTAAGCTGCAGTACCTTTGAAACCCGGTTACAGGTTTCAGGCAGACAGGAAAGCCACATTATGACAGATGGGAGGATGCGACTAACGGACTAACGACAATGACTCTGATGCCTTTACGGCACCCACGAACCAAGAAGACATTCGGCAATCCTACCTAGGTTTGCCCAGTTTTTCTCTGCTTCTTTCTGATTTGTTAGGCTGTTAGGATATGCCACTCACAGAACCGACATTGAATCGGCCTTGAGAACGACCTGGACTGATTGTCTGGAGCCCGGGTCGTTCGAGGGCAATCATTCAGCAAGGTTGTTCACACTCGAGACAGGAACATCAGGTTGCAACGGATCGGGGCCCATGTCGAAAGGCTGACTGCGGCGTCTTGCCAAGTGCCGTCCACTGGTTAAAGAACCACGTTGTGAAGTGGGGCAGAATGTTCCCGCAAGGAAGGTTCGATCGCGCGAACTTGAACATGTCTTCTTCGATGGATTAGGTGTGTATTCCAGTTTTGTAATCACGTGCCCGCAGATGTTTGCACATGTCGGCTCATGTGATCGGATGAATGTCACAGGGCAGCACCTGACCTACAACATCTTGCCGTTTTCGCCACTCCAGCTTGGGCATCTGTTACAATTACATGAGATGCATCAGCGACAAAGCACCAGCATCTAACCAACATTGAGAGCATGTCCAAAGTTGTGCCGCTGTTCGCCTCGTTGGGTCTGGCAGCTCGAATCTCATCTTCCGGGATTCCGAGTCGAAGCAGGGCCTCAGGAAAGCTCGCTGGATCGATTTAAGCCATGAGTTACACAGCTGGTGCTTGGGAGCAAGCCGATCGGTATGAAGATGCATGCAATCCCTCGTAGAAGGAGTACCTCCCAGAAACGTACTCTGTTGAGGTCTTCGCTCGAACAGAAGCAAAGGCGAGCGCGAAGGTCACCAAAGAGGCTTGGTGCCAAAGACGTCAGTGCTCAAGACTGCCACCTGTGGATTCGGTCTAGCCGCCATGATAGTAGCAATAATAAACATGCAAGTCTTTCACTCGCGGCAGGAGATCGATGCCGGCGCCCCACCACCCAACGACAAAACCAACAACAACAAATGTTGTGTGATACTTTTGAACTGGATGATGACTCTTCTCGGATTCCTCCAGATGCCCCATAGACCCGTAACGACGAGCTTGGAGGGCAACCAGAGTTCAGAGAGCATCCAACTGCCCCGCGCCTGCTGGACACATGTTTCTCATGTATACTGTATGACATTCAACCAGGCATCGGAAGGCATTGAATTGATGAACCCCTGCAGAGTTTGAGCTTTGCTCCACCGGAATTTGGAGGGCATCCAGATACCCAGCAGCCTGCATAGTCTAACACTTGACGGTCGAAGCAAAGACACGTATACAGCTTGAGTTTGAGACTTTCGCAAAGTGTTTTCCAGCAGGGCCTCAGAGTCTTTTCAATGGCATGCGTAGTCACTTTCTCCATCCTTTTCCCTTCTTTTCGTTCAAATAGGTTTTTGGGGCCCACGGCCAGGGGCAGGCCTGTTGCCTCACCTTGCATCCATCTCCATCGTTGTCGACAGAGGCAGAGGCTGGATGCGTGTGCCGGCGTGCCACGTCCAGCCAGTTCTCTTGACAACCATCGTCGTCTCCTGCTTGGGGCTGCTGCTGCTGCTGCTGCT